CCACAGATCTGTCACCTTCGTATCTACAGCACCAGAACAGAGTAGCAGTTCAAGGACAGAAATCTTTACCACCATCATAAACTGTATAACCTATGTTTACTCTGCCTGAAATACCAGCTGTTTCATCCACCCAAGAAAGCCTAGAAACTTCAACTAGATGCAGAAAAAAAAAGGCTATTTTGCTATTCTGACCATACTGCTCTGCTGGTAACAGGTTCTAATAGACTTTAACTTTTCCTCCCTTTCCAGTCCTTTACTTTAAACTATTTCTTTTGGGGAGTTTGGGGTTACTAAACTAAATACCACAAAGAGAGAGGCTGCAGCCTATGCAGAATAAATGATTTAAGAACTGGGCTTGGCTGATTTATTTTTTCCTCTGTCTTGGAGATAAAAAGAAGGAACACATTTTAGTAATCCCTGCTCATTTTCACGGCCATTCTTTCACCTGTAACTCAAATAATGAAGTCATTTGTTATTTATATTGCATTTTCCCCTCCATTCTAGATTTCTAACGATCTGACCCTTCTTTATGGCCATGACAAAGCCTGAAACCGGTGTGGACTTCCAATAATTGAACGATATAAGGAAAAATCTTTAACTGGAATGAAGCAGATGTTAGCTTTGTGCAGTCCCCTAACTTGATTATTCTTTGGACATGTTAGACAAGCATTAGTGATTGATAATGACGCTAATTAACCCCTTTCCTTTCCAAAACAGTAAACCAATGCCAGCAGGATTCTGCAAACAACATGCACAAAATACAGCGTATATCAGTATCTGTTCAAAGTGGATCAAGGACACAAGTTCGTAGTCCAGCGCTTGACAAAAATCTTACCCTGCTGACACCAAGCCAGCTCCAAATCTTCTCTAAGAGTTAACAGCTCCAGCTGCTTGCAGGACAGGGAGCAGAAACAGCCCTTTCACACAGAAGAGGTGCACAGGACAGAATTGGAGGCACCATTTATTTTTTATACTTCCAACCTTTCACATTTGATTATCAAGCCACTTTAGATCACTCTGCCCTCACTAGCTGGGATGGGTTTCACGTTGCTCCCTGTCCAAAGGGCGCTGGTTATTTTAGCTGCACTTTGCAAATGCGAGGGCTGAGGCTCTGGGAATCTGGTCTGGGCTGAGACATGCACGTACTGAGGAGGGAAAGGGAAGTGCACATTCTGGAATTTAAATGGGAGGCAGAAGACAAGTAAACAAACAAGGAGCTGATCTGATTATGCAGTCGAATTTATCATGGACAATAAAGAAATTGCCTTTAAATGTAAGGGTTTGGATAACTGAATACTCCTAGCAAGTGAATAAAATGTATTCAATTAACTAAAAACCTTGTGCACTTCTGAACTGAAGTGGAATCGACTGTAATTGATTTATTTGAAACCAGAGGTTAAGGACTGAATTAGCTAAGTACAACTGGGTATTTCAAGCCACTGACTTCTCAAATGTCAAATCCCTTCTATTTTAAATATTATTTCAGCTGCGGGGCATTGCTGTCCTGATGGCTGTTCCTCCAGTTAAATCTCAAATTATATTAATATTTGATTTTTGGAGGGTGGGGTAAATTACGGTACAAAGAGGAGGGCTGTCCTTGTTCATGGTGAAGAGCACCAGGCTGTATTTTGGTTCACATGTAGGAATTAGCATGGCAGCTATGGTCTAACATTCAGCCACCACTCACCCTCATTTCAACTGATCTGGGGGAAAAAAAAAACAAACAGATTTTTGTTTGGTATATAAAAGCATGACCTAGAATTTCACTGCTGCACCTCAATCACAACGTTAAAAATGCACCCAAAGAACGCTAAAGTAATTAGCACGTTTTGGTAACTGCACATTGGTCACAGCAGACGAGGCTGAACCAAAGCTAGTCTGATTTCCATTATCGCCTGTAAAATCCTTCCTTAGAAATAATAGTAATAAAGAAATCCATGCAAGGTCATTTCATTTCTAGTTTTTGGTGGCTTGCTAATGCAGCAGCAGGATGCTTAAAATGTGCTCTCCTAGCATAAAGTAGCTAATTATATCTTTAAAACATTATTTATTATTACCTTATAATGTTCTAGCATAAGACTGCTTTATACATTGCCCAGTATAAAACGATTATATTGGGTACAGGTTTCAAAAAGTAACAAGCATCTGTAAATCCAGATATGAATGAATGGTATTTAATAAGATTGTTTTTGTTTAAAAATGAGTATTTATGTGTTGCTGTAGAAAGAGCAGCAATGTATTGCTGTTTATGAATGCTATTGTGCCTGAGGTTAGGATCCCACACACAATCTGAGATGCAGCCAAGAAAAACAGCCCTGATAGACAATGCTTCACTTCACCTGCTACAATACTGTGCATTTCATTTATGTCAAGAATATGTACAGTTAGGGTTCATTCACCTCATTATTCTGTTACATCTACTTTACGGTTAACCAGTCTCTCTTGGAAATAATAAATAACTGTTTTTAAAACAATTGCAGCTTTGCATTCAAAAGATCCACTTTCAATTTATGAAAAAAAAATATTCGCCATTTTTATAAACTAGCTGGCTCTTGAAAATAGAATTTAGACTCCACCAACTCTCTTTCTGCTTGGAAAGATTGATTTTACACTGCCTTCCATAAGTAGATTACCAAAGCAAAATGAAACATCTTGGGCTTTATCTAATGCTTTGCTTCACCAGCTCTACCAAACGTCAAAATATATGAGTAAATGTTAATTCTCTGTGCAGCTTTATTGTAAACATCTCCCTCTTAACCTCCTCAATTTCTGCCTGAGCGAAAAGGGGGAAAAAAGGAGAGAGACAAAGTCAGGGAGGAAAGGAAAGAGAAAGAGAGAAAAATCAGTCACCACCACCAAAATACCATCAGCACTTAAAGGAAACCCTCTCTTTAAAATGCCTTTACATTCTAAACTGCATTAAGTCTCCCTTCCTATGATATAACATAATCCAGCCTGATCCTGACTTCACCTACCCTCCGGGCCAAAGAAAATAGATTCAAAATCTGAATTCTCACATGTTTTTACAGCCCGTCTTCAAGATGTACACTCCATTTTTTTAAAGCGAAGTTCCCTATTTCACAACTGGTTTCCACAAGAAGAAACTCAAGATAAAAATTTCAGTCCCTTATAAACTGACACAACCATCTCAAAATGTCAGTCTGTGCATTCCACTAAAACACGAACCATCAATCAGAAATAATCTGTCTCCTGCAAGATTTCACTAAAGTTCACAACCGTGAGATGATTTTGTTGGCATCCACTACGGAGCTTTTCTATTTAGTTGAGGGGGAGGGAGCACCCAGCTCTGATTCATCAGTATATAATTTTTTTATAGCATTAATTTTCAGTATTTGCTCAGTAATGATTCTTTTTAAAGTGTCCTTCTTGAGATGTGTTTTTTAATCTCTGCTCTCCGTTAGGACAAGTACATGCACAAAATTTTATAGGCTTATAATTCTGTACGCTATATATATACATAAATAAAAACCTAGAGGTCAACATAAATAAAATAAAACTTTATTTTTTAAATAAAATTATGTTTTGGTTAAAGAAAAGATAGTGTGTCATTTTGTTAGTAGTACAGACAATTTTTTATCCAAAAGAATACATTGTGCTTTATTGTGTCATTTGTCTGAATACAGACTCAGTGGAATATCTAAATGATACCCTGCTCTGAACTCCAAGTTGAAAGTAAGTTTTTATTATACTTGAGGGAAACAATGGGTTCAGCTGCTTATTGCAAGGAGCAATTGTCAAGGGAGAGTTAAACTCAATTACTGTAACCATACTGAATAAAAAATACTGCCAAGAACAAAAATACGCCTGGGTAAAGACAGCTACTGAATAAAAAAATCGACATAAAGCGTATCAAATATTTATTTATCTGGGCAACAAAGGACTATGATACATTGATAGGCATGGAAACTACTGCCGGCACAACTCAATACAATACAACTATAACTGCTTCCAATATGGCCAGTGGAAATACAGGATACCAGGTGGTCCCGAATGTTTGAAGTTCTTTGGGAAAAAAAAAAAAAAAAAGAAAAGAAAAAAAGCAGAAAAATAAAAACAAAAGAAAGGGAGAAAGAAAAAAAAAGAGGGGAAAAAAAAAGGAAAGAAAAGCTAAATCTGTTTTAAAAGACAATATTAATTTATTGCTCTGTTGGTGCTTTCGGGAGAAGGACAGTGGATAAAAATAACTTCTTTCATTTTCCACAACACATAAGGGTTGTAAAACCACTAATATGTTTAAAAACCTTGCCAGGGTCCAACATCACTTTATTTTATCTTCAATGAGAAACTAAATGTCATACTAATTATATATAAAAATTCATGTTTTTTTATTTGTTCAGCTGCTTCATTGTCGTCTTTAACATGCTACAACAGGGCTAAAAATGATGAATCCCAGAGAAAAACCCCCAAAAAACCTCTGATATCTAAATAAGTACCATGAACCACATGATGAACTAAGAGGGGAAGATTTAAAACCCACTAAACAAGAGGTAAACGAGATCACCAGATAAATAAAAAAAGGCTTAAAACAAACTCACCATATTTACAATTCCCATTAAATTACACATAAATAAATATATACATACATGAACACTGATTCCCTTATATAATAACCGTGAATCGTGTTGCAATAGAAAGTTCAAGTTGGTCGCTTTACCTTGGACAGGAAAAAGTTCTACAACTGAAGATATGACATGGAACCGCTTGTGTTTTGTGTTCAAGTTTATTCACAATACTGATAAAATGTCATCAGTCCTTTTTGCCTTTCGTATGTCTCCTGTTGCTGTTGTACTTTTTCGCCTTTTTTTTCTTTTTTAATATGGCTACAATCTTAACTGAAGTTTATGTAAGGGAAGGTGGTGATTCAGTCCGGTGAAGCTCATAGAATTTTTAAGTATTATTTATTTCTTTTTGTTTTTTTTTTTTAATATATTTTTAGAAAAAAAAGTCCTTTTCTTTTTTGTTTTGTTTTTTTTGTTGTTGTTTTTTTTTCCTCCTTTTGTTTTATTTAAAAAAAAGTTCACAAACTCAAGACAGAACTTTTTTTCTTTGCTGGCTCCGTCCCCCTGTTCTGTTCTCTTAGGCTCCAAACTGGGGTAAATCGATGGTGGCAATGGGGAGTCAGGGGTAGGGGAGGATTTAAGAGGGAGCAAATGGAAATGTGGATACTGGGAAGGGGTGCAGAGAGGGGGCAGAGCAGTCCTGCGGAGTCAGAGAACAGGACTGGCAGAAGGACGCTCATTCTGTTGCTGTAGCCTGGGGTGCTGGGTGCAGGGGAGAGGGAGGGAGATGAATGGATCAATGGGCTATGAGGGGGAAGGGAGAGGAGTGTGTGTGGGGGGGGGGGATCCTCACTTTCGGTGCTTCTCCTCTTTGTCGCCGCTTTTGGTGCTGTTGTCTGTGTGGCTGTTGGGATTGTTGCTGAGGTACATTTTGTCCATGGCCTTGAGCGCCTCGGTGAGATAGTTCTGCAGGGCGGTGACGGCAGCACACACCGCCGGGCTCCCAAAGCCGTGCGAGATGAGGTTGAAGTGGGTCAGGCAGCTCTGGATGCCCGGCTCCAAAATGGGGTTGGGCCGCGAGTTCCCCAGGGGAGATCGGTCCTGAGCCAGCAGGTCGGTGAACTCTTTACAGATCTGTCTGTAGCATAAATGGAGCAGAGAGACGGAGGGAGGGAGCAAGGGGAAGAGAGAGGGAGGGAAATGAACCATCACTGGTGGCAGCAAAGCCTGTGCATTCTCCCTGCCAGATTACACAAGCCCCTGGATCAAGGGGGCTGCTGCCCCCGAGTGCAAACACACTCTCTCACCTCTCCCTCTCCTCTCTATGCATCCTTCCCCCTAATTCTCACATTTTCCCAGCATGTACAAACCTCTTCCCTTCACCTTGCGTGCACACACAACTGCACACCACATCATGCCCTGGCCCCAGCCAACACACAGGCAAATAACAGGCACAAGAGAAACACCCGCCTCTTGCCTATCCCTGCCGATCTCCATATCTCAGCTCCCCAGCACTGTCTCCACAACCACACATTCCTGCCCAGCTAGAGTTCGGAGTACATATGCAGTTTAAAGTTTTCCAGCAGGCTGGAAGGTAATAGATGGGCTGCGCTATCCAAAGGTAGGTTAAGGGATTTATCCACATCTTGGAAGATCCCTTTCCTTTGGGGTTGAGGGAGAGGAAACTGGAGAGAGGTATAGGCCTCTTTCTTCACAAGGCTAAAACACACCTGTGTGCCAGGAAGAATGAGTGAGGGCAGAAAGGGGACTTGAGGCTTTAAATTAGGGTATTCTGAAACATTTATATATGTACATCTCTATCTCCAAATCCAAAGGGACCTTTCCACAGAGTGGAAAGCTGACGCTAACCAGGGTCTGGAAATTTCCTTCCAGGGAGGTGGAAAGGGAGGATACGAAGGGCACAGTGCAGAAAATAGATTATATCATCCACTCACTGCACAAATGGTTAGGGAAATAACACACCTTATAGCAAGAGAGCTGAGAGGCATGTTGAAATAGTTGGGATTCTAAAACCCATGTTAATGTCTTCCAGCCATAAAGTGTCTCCCATCTTCAACCTGTGCCCTCTGGCACTGTGCCCTTTGGTGACACCTCCATTGGTAACTAAGGGCTACTAAACAACCCTTTTAATTTCCAGCAAACATACCATAACAATCATTTTCTTTTCACGCACCACCTGGAAATCTAGGCAGCCCCACCAGTGATAAACTCCACTAGCATTTTAACTGCATACAGATTGTCATTTAAAATATATGTTTAATATCCCTATATTTGCTAAGTAACAGAGCTGCTTAGGCAGAAAGAACCATTGCGGATTTTAATGAACTGAAATCAGTATAACATGCCAGTTTTATTTTACTCTCAATGGGAAGCCTTCCCTTTCTACCTAAATTGATAAGCTAAGTGAACAGGCCCAGAAAATGTTTTGCTCTGAAGAATTACTCCTTTTTCTGTAACTAAATACCCACCCACAATTTTCACAACTCGCTTTCAGTGTAATCTGCACAAAGTGACTTGATGGAAACCAAGCTGGCTTATAGAGTTCTCCTATATCAGGAAGGCAAATACACCCCCTCACAATTTGCGAAACCATCAACCACTGGTTATGTGGCAAACAAATATGTTCACAAATAAAAGCCCCAAACCCGGGTTTGTTCCCCTCCCTCATTTCTGAGCAACATGCCAGAAAGTTAAATGTCTTACTTTGTAGCTAGAAGCATGTTTTTTCTTGTGACTTGCTCGTTTGGATCGGAATGTTGTCGGTTGAGAAATTCAGCTACTGCTTTGGCAGGAAATTCTGTCTCACAAACGTACCCAAAATCTCTAGCTAGATGTACTGCTTCTCCTGAATAGGGAGTCATGGGTGGAATGGAAAGAAACACACAGCTCATCAGTACACATCCTACAGAGGCAAAAATCCATTAGAAAAAAAACCAAAACCCAGCTACATTCTACTTGGGCTTTTCCTCTAAAAGGCTTGGACTTTTTCTCTTTGACAAAGGTAGGGCAAGAAATGCTAATTACATCTTATCTTTCAGGAGTTTTCTTTGCTTCAGACAAAGGCAATGGAAATGTGTATTTTCATGACAATCATTACAAGTGAAATCTCACATAAGGATTTTTAAAAGTTTACATTGACTAACAGATACTTGTAGACAGACAGGCTCCATTCACCTAGACTGTGTGCTTTGATTTACATATCCATACCTATAGAGAGCCATTTATGTACTTTTTATTCACAGCTATTTACTCTGAAAATGTGTTTGCCTCAGCCACATCTCTATATTATTTTGCAATGCATCAATGATTAATATTGATCATAATTACTCCTAGAGCTGTTCTAAATAAAATGCATTAAACAGCTAAGTGTTTAAAATTTAACTTGATCGCATATAATTATATGTTCACCCCCAAACGATTAACCATGAGAATTTTAGGGTCATTCCACCGAGTCTGTCTGTTTTGTTGATTTTCAAATCTTTGGTTTTAATTTCCTGAACCAGTTGGTTTTTACTGCAGGGCTTCCTGCCATTAGCTCTAGCTCCGGAAGAACGCATGCGCCAATTAGAGCTTCAAAGCCTCAGTCCAGTGAGCTTGTTTCCATAAAATGGAGCGGATCATAAACAATAACAGTACCTAGAAAGTGCCTCATCGCTACAGGACTCAAAGCCCCAGCAATGTTTATACTATCATCCCCCCAAAATTAGCCACCATAGCTAAGTTATCTGAAGATCGGGCCTCTGGTTTTGTTTTTTTAAAAAATCATTCTTTTAAAGCCCTTGTATGTGAAAGCCAAACAGAACAATAGATTACCATAAAACCTTCTCCATATTCATTAACATCACAAATAGTGTTAAGCATCTACCAAATCTAGACTTTTTACAAGTTTTGCCCTCGTGATGTGTTAATGCAATCGCAAAGCCCTTTCAAAAACATGAAGATGCGGTAATTTTCACGCAATATAAATATAGTTCGTTCACTAATCCCGATGTTTGAAGCCTGGCATCGCAGCGCTTCTTTCCCCGTCCCCTTTGAACATGAAACATTTCTCGTAGACCGTGAAGCGAAAACAAAACAGTTTCCCGCCTACACAACCAAACTTAAGCTAAACCTGCGCAGCTCAGGCTGAGTTTAAAAGTGCTTTGCAAAATGAACCAGTCTAAAACGCAGTAGAACCCGTAAGTAAGGGGAAAGGAGAAGAACTATTTGCATGCCTTGGGCATACTTTGTGTCAATTAGTGTGCAAGAGCCACTGCTTCAAAACTAAATAACTGTATACGCTTGAGGTTCCCACCTTCCGGTACAGACGGCATAGGACATCCCAAAGCATTAAAAGTAACTTGCACCTTTTCTGGCCAGAGCAAAGTAGAGGAGAACGATACAGCCAAAGGAACATGTGTTCTGAAAATGAAAACCAACAGGGAGTGGGGGCTGGTGGTGGTGCAACTTTGAGGCTTTCAGGACACCATTAATTCATGGCTGAGGTCAAGGATTCCCAAATTAATTCAGGAAGTAATGGTCATGCATTTCTCAAATGCAGATGTCAGAAAAGTTAAATGATTTACTGTTATGTGGCTGCAGGGTGGGAAGGAGAACAAACTTAAAGTAGCTGCAGTTTCTGACATTTAAAATTGCTTGGCTGTCCACCTGTGGCAGAAAGACAGCAGTGAAGTATCAGAGGCTCTGCTGCCTGTAACTTCCAACTCAACACTCGGGGGTCTCTTAGGGAGCTAAGCCTGCAGCCCCTCTTCATAGGCATCTTTCCCATGCTGCTCCCAATGAGATCTGCCTACTAGATGGAAGGATTACTCACTTGAAAGCAAGATGGGGCCCTGAAAACATCTCTCAGAAGCTTAAAAGCAAATAAATGGCAGAACGCATTACTGAGTCTGCAGGACTCACTCAAGCCCGTTTCAGGTTAAAACAAAAAGCAAAGGCACACAATTAATATGTTCTTTTTCTAAGACATAGAAAATAAAGCCCTTCCAAATGCCAGTAAGCAGCACTGACTTTGGGGAAAGAAAAAAAAGCCATGAACAACCAAACATCAAGTTTTCTCCCTTTTGGCAAAAGCAATAGGCACATTTTCCAAACAAGCTCTCCCAGCTCTTTGAGACACTTACCCTCCACGAGTGATGTGAGCAAGGTAACGTTAGCAGCTTTACGCCTCCCGGCTGGCAGGTTTAGTCCTATTTTGTCCAGTTTCTCCCTCAGAGATCTCCCTCCGTTTTTAGACTTTGCCCTGCTCCGCACAAAAAGGCATTGAGAAATGGGGCTTGAGGGGGACACAGGCTCCTGCTTTAGCTCCTGCCCACAGACCCCCCCAACACATCGCCTTCCCTTGGAGGGGGGTACATGGAATGGGATAAATGGCTGTGGGTGGCTGAAGACCAACTGTTGCTGAAAGCTGAGTCTCAGACACAGGGATGGTTCTTTGGATGTTTCCATGTCTAGGGAACAGGGGCCCTCACTAAAGTCTGGATCAGGCCAGGGCTGCTGAGGAGCTCTGAGGTAGCTGCCTCCAAGGTGCCATGGACCGAGGGGCAGCTTCTCCCCAGGTGTTACAAGAAGAGAAGGATTTGTAAGGCTGGCATCGCTGCCCTCACACCAAACCCTATGTGGCCCATCTATGGCTTTTTAGCAGAGCCCTGTACTAAGTGCTAAGTGGGCCTGTGGAGATGCGAGCTGCCTTAATTAATTCTGTATGTTATTCCCTGCCCGGGCGCTGCCTAATCGCCTGGGTGAGGCTACAGAGGTGAGGGCCCACGGCAGGGTGCCGGCCAGCAAACCACTCCTATGGGGCATGGGAGTGTCTGTGTGAGGTGTCCATCGCCGTGGCAGGGGAAGGGACACACAGGGGTCCCCAAAGCGGGGCATTGGGGACGACACAAGGCTGCACGTTGCCATGGCGACAGCGCACGGACACCCCACCCCCCCCCTCCCGCGGCCTGGCGGTGCCTCCCCGGCGGCCGCGCGTGCCCCGCCCCCTGGCGGCGGCCGCCGCACTTCCCCCCGCGCCGCCGCCCCGCGTGGGCGCTCGCATCCCTGCCTCCCTCCTTCCCTCCCTCCCTGCCGCCCTCCCTCCCGCACGGCATCCCGCCTCCTCCCGCGTCCCCCCGCCCCTCACCTCCGGAGCACTCCGCCCAGCAGGGAGGCGTTGAGGCACTCGGGCGGCGACAGGCGTCTCTGCACTTCCGCCACCGTGACCTTGTACTTGGAGGTGGAGCTGAGCAGCGAGAGGCGGCCCGGCACCGAGCAGAAGACCTCGTTGGGGTTCACCACCCCGCCGAAGAGCGCGTCCTTGTTGATGGGGATGGAGGAGACGGCGTTGTTGTTAGACTTGGAGAGGGACACGGGGCCTGCAGGGAGGGAGGAGCAGGGAGGTGAGGGTGAGGAGCGGGCGGGAAGCCGGGAAGGGAGGGGGAAGCGCCCGAGCCGCTCGCTGCGGCCGGCCCCGGCCCCGCACCGCCCGCGGGGCAGCGGGGAGGGAGCGGGGGCGCCCCTCCGCCTTTTCGTCGGAGGGCGCAGGGAGAGAGCGGGACAACCCTCGACAGCAGCGGAGAACCCGGCGGCCCGCGCAGCCCCGGCCCGGCGCACGCTATCGGTGAAGCCCGTCGGTGCGGGCCGTGTCCGGCGGCCCGGGCCGGGAATCGCGGCTGCCGTGCTCGCGAAGCGCGGGCAGCGCCCGGGCAGCGGCGCAGCTCCCCAGAGGCCCCGCCAGCAGCGCGCAACTTCTGGCGTGGAAAACCCGTAACGCAGCGAGGAGCCTGCACCCCAAAATATAGCCCGGCCCCTGCCCGGCGGCGGCGGGCGGGGAGGTGCCGGGTCGTGCCGCCGCTCGGCTGGCGGTGCCCGCCGGCCTCGCGTCCCGGCCGCCTTCCCTTCCTCCTCCTCCTCCTCCTCAATCCGCACCGCTTGGCGGGCGCAGTCCAACCAAGCGGGGGGCTCTCTCCGTTTTGGATAGATCACTTGTGACATTAATAGCTCTGGGAAGGCTAATAGATACAACAGGAGTTAAACGAACTCTTGAGATTACTAATAAAAGAGCCAATTATCATGTCGACTTGGAAAGAGCATCTCTTAAGATTTATCCCTTGCACATCTAATTTGACGTGACAAAGGCTTTACGGGGAGGGGGTGGGGGGGCAGAATGAAACTTCAGGTTCGCTGGCTGTACAGCTATTAGGGTTAGAGAGGAGAGTGCCTCTACTCAGCATCTCTTCCGGTGGTGGCCAGGGTACCCAAATTCCAGGCGATCGCGCAGCCGTGGCACCCCTCAGAGCAGGCAGGAGCTAGCTATGCCTTCAGCCCTGCCCATTTTACTCCAACAGCAGCTCACTACACAGCATCCAAATGCAAATCCATCGCTTTCCACCGAGAATTGCCTTTGCAAAATGCCCTGTGCCACCTTTACTAATACTTCGGTTGTCCGAAGAAAGATGGGAAATGAAAATCGACTGAAAACATGCAATAAATATTTTGCTCGATTTGGGGACCAGTTTCCAACCAATTCAATTCGAAGTGAAGCAAGCGCACGAAACCAACGAAAACCAAAGCACCCTGACCGACAGGCATCAGTTTCAGAAACTGGCCCCTTGTTCTCCACCATTCCACCTCATCACCGTCGTGATTTAAGTAAGAAAACCCGAAGGAGGGGGAACAACAATTTCACTTTCTCAGCCTCGTTTACCAACAACGATTCAAGCCCACTGCTCAGCTAGATGCATGGGTCAAACCATGAAACCCAATTGTTCGCTAATGCACTGAAAGACCGGGTCGGATTTTCTAGATCATCTGCTAACATTTTTCCTCGTTAATGACAACAACAATTAAAATAGCCGGCAAACATGGCCATTTAAGAGGGCGCATTTCAACCCACACCGCCCATTTTTCTTTCTCTGCTTCCAATATTTTGGCCAACAGTACATGCCAGAGGAAGGAGCCCAGGGCCGGGGGGGCTGGAGGGGAGGGGGGGGAGGCCGGGTAAGTCCTCCATTCGAGCAGTCCCCAGCCTGTGACGACATGTTTGGTATGCGCAAGGAAACGGCTTACCTTTCTTAATTACAGTTTGATCTGGGATGTTAAGACCGGGGTCTTCTACGTGCTGCAACAAAAGGAACAGGCAGGGATGTCAATGTACAACCACAACAAAAGGCAGGGAGGGCCGAGGTGGGATGGGGTGCGGGAGAAGTTGTGTGCCCCCCTCCCTCCTTCCCGGGCACGGTGTGGGGAGGGAAACAACAGATCTTGCACGGGGAGAGGGGGAGAAGAGGGGATTTGCGGGGATTTCCTTTATCGGGAGGAATCCTGCATCCCTCCCAGCTCTTTCCCGCGATCCCCAAGAAAAATATAATAAATCACTCACAAACCCCCGGGGCCCAAGTGGCCTCCAGCTTCTGCGGGTTCCCTCATCCCGTCCCTTCCCTCCTCCCCGGGAAGCAGCCCCGGCCCGGCCCGACCCTTCTCCGCCGCTACGCACTCTCCCGCGCCCGCGGGAGGGAAAGCACAAAGGAGTGGGGACCGGTGCGGTGCCGGGGGGCTCACGCATCCTGCGCGGCCCCGGGCTCCCCCACTATTGTCCCCTCAAAGGTTCCGCGGTCGCGCTACAGCTGGGGTTCGCGCGGCGGAGTCACGACGTGATTAGAAAGTCAAATGAAATCATGTTTTCTAATTCCAAAAACTGACAGGCAATATAATGTCTGGCTGTGTTTACAAATTAACACCAGTGCTGCTGAGATAGAAGATTTCGCAATCGTTACAAAACCCAGGCATTACCATTTAAAAAACTATTACTTCCTTCTCTAGTCTTTGTCCAACAATAATACTGATTCTAACATTTTCCATTCTGTCTTGGATTTATGCTCCTGTTAATTGTGCCTGATCTCAATGATTCCGGGTGGATGGTACTAAGTTGCTTTATTACAGGTTTTATTATACTCAATGCTCTCATTTGTAACTTGCCTAAAGTGCTTCTGGATTTAAGTATAATTAAATTGAGAAATGTTCAGAAATGACTACTGCTGCAGTTCTTGTGTTTTAACTATATGGGGAAATATGATCCCTTTATGCATGCACCCTAAACCCATAAAGTAAATGTAGTGTGGCATAATACTTTTATTTGTGTTATTTCTACACATATTCCATACAGGGAGGACTGTTAAGTTTAAAATCCCACAGAGATATTTATGATTAAATAATTTTCACCATCTACTTGACTTTCTTAAACATTTAGCGGTCGTTTTTATTAAAGATTAACTGTTGCAGCAACGGAAATATTAAAAAGACGACCCTCCCAGCCCAGATTTCTGTAGAGGATTATTTAAAAAAAAATAGATAAAATACTCTTAAAGGATACATCCTCCTATTTTATACTTTCCCTCATGAAGCCTGCTGATTCAATTTTACAGAGAAAAAAATGGTTTGGCTGGCTCAAGGATTTAAACCAGATGGCATTCGGTTTTCACAAAGTATAGCAATGCTATTAATTCATAGATCTGCAGAGGAGGCTTCCAGAATCAGCCCACTGCCATGGAGCACAACTGAGGAGAGGGAGAATTCAAGAGAACATTTTAGGTCATGTTCTTCCTACAGCAATCAGGGGCTTGCAGTCAACAAATTAGTTTATTCTTACGATTGCCTCCATGTTATTTTATATCAAGTTTAAAGAATTGACCTGCTTTTAACGGATCCAAATTGCTTACTAAATCCTCCACTTTGGGAAATGTATGCGTTTATTGCAAAACTGCTAAACACAACCAGCAATTTTCTGTGGCTAATTTAGCCAGATGAGGGCTGTAATAAATTCACTATTTTCCCCAAGTATAATTTACAAAAGATTTCAAAATGACCCCCAAAAATAGGTAAGTTCATCTGAACATTATCCTTGCAACATGAAACTGTACTCATTAAACTGTCAGCAAATATATTGTTGTAATATTTGATCCTGTAATTTGGGATGGCATTTCAGCAAAAATCACATCCAGATACCACAGTTCCCTCCTCCTCTTTCCTTCTGCAAGTCGAGCAGCTTCGGTCCCTCAGCACAAGCTCTGTGGGCTTTAATAAATTTATTGCCATGTTCTAATTCCATTTTCAGGGAGAAACCCAGAAAGATGAACTTTGATCATGACTGATCATGTTGCATAAGGCCACTTTCCTAACTGAACAATAGCCCTGGCTTGCTTTGTAAGTAGCCTGTGTGCTAATGTCATGCTTAATTAGAAATCATTTTTTAAATCTGTATTTATCGATAACAGAATTAGGTCCCCCAAATAAAGCATCCTCCAATAGGCTCTCAACATTTAATTTAATATAGGGTGTAGCAGGTCTGGCTCAAATTCGATAACCTATAGCTAATGATTTATGAGGTCATCCCTTTGCACCGCTACTAAAAGAAGGTGGCAGCGTTTTAGTATACCTCTTCCCTGATTTGTCAATTAATTCCTTTAGAGAAGAGGGTCTGCCCATACCCTTTATAACTTTGGATGTGGTTATCCTATATGCAAATCCTGTAATCGCGGGATACCGATTTTTCCTTCTCTGGCCACTTTCACCTACTTTTTTTTTTTTCCCCGTTATGTTTGCCTGTGAGGACATTTAATGACATCTCGCATTTCAGACTTGTGTTTTTCCCAAGGCAGCAAGAAATCCCCAAATGCACAGCCCTGTGGTGATATTATATATTCTTCCAATCGTAACAGCTTATTGTCATTGAGAAGGAAAGATATTGTTAACGATGACAGTAATTTGATTTATTTATATTTTAGCGGGCGCGTTAGCGGGAGGCATTGCGCAGGGACGAGCTGCGAGAACCTATTGTTCTAGGTGGGGGCTTCACTTTTCCTGGGGGGCGGGGGGGAGTTCTCTTCTTCCCTCCCCGTTTTTTTTTTTTTTTGGGGGGGGGGGCGGGGGTCCCCCTCCGTCCCTCCCCTCCCCCGACGTTGGGCTCCCGCGGGGTGGGGGACGGGGAAGGAGGACGGAGAAGAGGGACGAGCGAGCCCCGGGGCGGCCCCTTGGCTTACCGGCACGTCCTCGATGGCGTGGGGGATGGAGTGGAGGGGCAAGTCGGCCAGCCCCGAGCCCAGCCCGTGCGGGGCGTGCAGCAGGTCGTCATGCCGCCGGTAGTCCCTGCGTGGGTCGAGCCCCGAAAGCTGGTGGGGTAAACCCCGGTGCGTGTGGAGCAGCCCCGTTTCCTGGCTCTGCCTCTGTCCCGGCCATCCTGGGTGCTGGGGCTGCGGCTGGGCATGGAGGGGGTTGAGGCTGTACGGGTCGTTCACGTGGGAGTAGGGGTCCTGAGACTGGGGGTAGATGGGCTGGTAAGGGGGGGGAAAGTAGGGCGGCTGGAAGTCGGCGTTGGGGGTGTGGGAGAGCGGCGGGGCGCTGGTGTAGGGAGACTGACCCACGGTCCCCAACTGGGGTAGCCGGGCTGTCCCGTTGCTGGTACTGTCGTGGCGCTCCTGAGGTGGGGAGCGGGAGCGGGGGGGGGGGGGGGTGGTGGTGAAGGGAGGTGGGGGGAGGAGGGGAGGAGGGGGAGGGGGAAGGAGGGGGAGAAAAGAAAAACAAAGATAATATCAAACTGATTCTTCTCAAAATCGGCTTGAAAAATTCATCTATTGGGCAAATATGGGCAATTCATCCTCTCCGAGGCGGAGAAAAGCAGATCTGGGGATTTCTCTGCCTCTGATTTCCCTTCACAAATAATTGAGAGGCAGTCTCGCTCTTTAAATAGCAATAATAACGGCAATAATGATAACAGCAATAATAGCAATAATTACAACAAGACTGCTTATAATAATTAATAAAACATTGCGGCGATACAGCATGGATTCCCAACAGATCGTGCCCCGGCATTTCAGGTGCAGGTATTTCCCGCAAATAAAAAGAATAATTCATAAGCGGGCATTATTGAAATAATAATCCTACCACAACCCCAAATCCTCTCTCTGACCCTGAACAGAACCGAGATAAATGTGGCTAAGATTACCAATTACGCGTCCCAAGAAAACCCTGGAAAATCCAAACCCACTGCCATTTTGTTACCAGAAGACAGTGAAATATGCTCCAAACAAACCGGTCGTTTCCCCCAAGAGTTTTAGAAATGTTTCGGGGCGAAAGCACTGACATGGTCCCCCACCTGCGGGGAGAGCCGTACCGGTGCCCGGCGGAACTCCCTGCTCGCCAGCGGGCGATTGCGGAGCAGAGCGGGCAGCGGTGACCCGGCCGCTGGGGAAGCGGAGGAATGCGGCAGGCAGCCGGGGGAAACGCCGCCGCCCCGACGGGCGAGCGGTGCCGAAGTGCGCCCAGGGTTTTCAGTAGGCTCTGCCGGCTTTCGAGGCCGGGCAGATGAGCCCACATGTATGTCCGGTGAAAAAGGAATGGCCTCCGCGGAGGAGGATTCGAGGGAAAGAACCATGATCCCGAAAAATGGAAACGAGAAAGCCGAAGATATTATGTTTGCAGGTGGCAAAGTGAAGGAATTGAAGCGGTAGGGTCCAAGCAAAGCCTTTTGCCGTTCGCTCGAAGCAGACCATAAAAAAAAAAAATAGGAGAGGGGGGAGAGAAGAAAAGAAAAAATAAAGAGAGAAGGGGAAAAATGTAAACCACCGAATTGTAAAAAATGAAGCAAAGAAGAAAAAACCCTCTTTGCGAAGCTGGGTGCGAAACCCCCACCGCCACCGCCGACAACAATAGCAACACCCAGCGCGCACCGAACCCCCTCCGAGAGAAACGTGAAGCAACTCACCATAGCCGAAAAACTGTGCACTAACATCTGCGAAGAGTCGGGGTTTACAAGTCAAGGTAGAAAAAATAACAAAAAGGCAGAGGAAAGGGACCGGCGGAGCGCGCAGCCCTCGGCGGAGCCCCGCGGGTGCGAGCGCGGCGCGGGCGCGGAGGGAGCGCGGCCAGAGCCCGGCGCTAGGTGCGGGCGGCAGGACCGGGGCGCCGGGGCTGCTCCTGCACCGCGGGCGCGCCACGATAATCCATCAGAACTTGCACCGATCTCTGCTGCCCTTCATCTGGTGTTGCCAAGGCGAGCTCTCTATCCTGGCGCGGTGTGAGTAGTCAAAGTTGGTTGCTTTCTTTTTCCTTTTTTTTTTTTTTTTTTTTTTTTTTTTTTTTTCCTTTTTTTTTTGTTTTTAGCGTGTGTGTGTTTGTTTCTTAATCCTTTTTTTTCCTCTGTCTCTTTCTTTTTCTCCTTTGACTTAGCTGCTGCTTCACTTGAGCTCCTAATAACAGATCTGCTGCCTTCCTGGAGACTCCTAATAGCAGATATTCATGACTATTAATATTACACGAACACTTAATAAGGGAAGAATGGCTGGAAATCGAGCGTGAAGCGAGAAGGCAACTCAAGGCAGAGCCTGTTCTAAATGACGTCCATTGAATGAAGAATCAGTGTATCTAATCAGAGATGGGGGAGAGGGAGAGGGAGAGAGAGACAAAAAGGGAGAGAGAGGGAGCGGGAGAGAGAGAGGGGGCACATGCTGCTGCGTCTGACGAATCACAGGAAAGGGGCAACATTTTAAAAGGTTGCAGGGCATGCAAAAGTGAAAGAGAAAGAGATCCGGAGAGAGGGAGAGGGTGGGAGCCAGGAGGGGGGTGTGGAAGGGGGGGGAGAGTGGGAGAGACGGGTAGAATGAGAGAGGGGAGGGGGCGCGGGATCCCCCCTTCCTTCCTCACCTTCCCTTCGCTTCGCTTCGCTTCCCTTCCCCTCCCTTCCCCCCCGGTTGCCGCCTCCCCATGTTCCCAGCCCCGCGGTCCTTCGCGGGCGCACCTCGGGCTGCGCCTGCTGCGCGTAGCCGGCCTCAAAGCCCAGGGAGAAGAGCGGCTGCTGGCTTCCCGCTTGGCTCTTGCCGCCCTCGGCCGCACCGCCGCCGCCTTTGCGCGGGGTGGGCTCCGCGGGACCTCCCGTCGCCGCCGCCCCGTCCATGCCTCGACGGCGCCCCACCAAGAGGCTCCCCTCGCCGCTGCCCCCGCGGCGGCCGCCCCGCGCCGCCGAGCCGGCTCGCCTCCGTGCCCCGCGTCCCGGAAACCGGCTGGGAAAGTTTTTTTGGGTGTCTCCCCCTCTGGGTGTCAGCCCTCCTCCTCCTCTTCCTCCTCCTCCTCCGGTTCGAGCCCAACGCCGAGGCCGGTGGGAGCCCGGGACAGGGGGGCTGGGGAGCCCAAGGAGCATCCGCCGGGCTCCCCGCGGCCCCCCTCTCGGAGGATCCGGGAAAAGACGGGGGAAAAAGGCAGGAGGCGGTGAGGCGGGGAGGGAAGGAGGGCGGGAGGCAAGCGGGGGGGAGAGAGCAGGGAAAAGAGGCAAGGCGAGCGCTTCTCGCGGCCCAGACAAGCCGGGGCTCCGGCGCAACCCGTTGGACTGGCTGTGCAACTCCCAAACAACTCCCTTAAACAGGCACCGTTCCGCTCGCCGCCGCTGCCCCGCCGCAGCCGCCGCTCCGCCGGCGCCCGGCCCCACGCTCCGCCCGCCCGCCCCGGCCCCCCGGCGCTCCGGCCGCCCCGGGCGCTGAGCGCGACTGGCCGGGCTTTCATGCCTCTTTTCTGGTTTTATTTGACTTGGATTTTTTTTAATTTCTTCTACTGTCTCTTTTTTTTTTTTTTTTTAAATATATTTTAATGCAGGTCCTACCCCCGACACGATACAGTCACCCTTTTTCATCCTCTCTAGAAGTCACATCACACCCTCTCCAGAGGAAAACACGGAGTACCAACCCCACACGTACGCACAAAAGCCAGGGGGCTCGGCGGAGCGGCCGCTGCTCCGTGTTTGGCAACACCTTGGTGTGAAGTCCCATTAACGCAAGGCAACAAAAGCCATTTGCGATGAAATCCACACGCTCACACGTGTGCACACTGGAACACCGATCCTGAGGGAAGGGAGGGGGAAGAGACACGCTTTCCATAGGAAATGCAACTGAGGAACGTATATGTTTGTTTTCCGGGTAAAAAGAAAAACCCCCAACAAACAAACAAAAAACCACAAACCCCAATACCCCTGACATCTCATTCCTAGAAATCAAGCACCCGCCAGCGAGTGGATCTAAAAGCTCAGCTCCCGCATCGGGAGACAGCTTCATCCCAAAGTCCTCGATCCGAGACTTGATCACCAAAACACTTAGTCGGCGCTGAGCCTGGCGAATCCTCAGTTTCTTTCCCAAGCTACAGCATCGCCCAAAACAGCAGCAGGGTCGGACGGGAGAGTGCCCCCTTCGACCCAGAGGTGCGTGTCGGCAAGGCTCCGCCGAGGCTTGGGGGATCTTCCCGCGTGGGTCACGACCAAATAACAGCGTTCTTTTGCAAAGTAGCGTCCTTTATTGCGCGGTTTGAACACACAGCACAGTCAACTTTTTCGAAAAGGGTGACAATAGTATTCGTTGGTTTAAGACTAGGCATGGGTCCTGGGCATCGTTCTTCTTTTTCCTCTTCTTCTCCTTTATGTCAGATTAAAAGATATTCTCCTCTTTCTAAAAATATGGATGCACACATAGACACATAGAGAGATGTGCGCATACGGTCTGTGCTGAAAGGCTCCAAAACCAAATGATGTGAATTATTTTTTTTTTCCCAAGCGGTTAAAATATTATTTCTCAAGCCCCCGGGAATGTGACCCTGAAAATTAGGAGACTGGGGGAACACCGCTCCCAAACCCATGATTTCAGTTCGGCATCTGACCCGTGCAAATTTGTGCAGCTCGGTATTAATCAACCCGCAGCTACATCGAAAAGGCTGAATTTAAGCTTCGGTCCTGAGCCAATTTACTGGTATGCCTCGGGTACCTAGAATGTAAGAATAATTCTCTTCCCTTTGTCTCTTTGCCCTTTCATTCATTCATCCATCCATCCGTTCATTCAGCCAGCCACCTATCCATCCATCTATCCATCCATCCATATGGATGAGTGTAGCATCCTACAAGAGCCTTATCTACCTATAGACCAGGCTGCTGCTTGGATCCTGTTTGCCCTTCCTCATACACTTCCGACAAAGCCGGGTTTCCACAAGCCCCGAAGTTCCTGGGGAAGGACCCCAGCCCCTCTCCGGCTGCAGGACCGCAAGGAAGCCTGACGACGGAGCAGAAGTTTTCCTAAACGAAATTGAGAGACGGAGGGATGCTGAAGGCTCCCGCTCGCAGCTGCGGGGCCTGGGCTCTGCCAGGGCCCGGGGGAAGAGCTTACCTCGCATTCCTCATACTTGATATTATCCGTCAGTTTCCAAAGCATTTTCATGGATTGGCGTGAGAGAGAGGATTTGGTTCTCCCTGCCTTGCCTCTCCCTACGGTGGCGGTGCCGGGCGGCGTGGGGAGCGCGGCTGGCGGAGGCTGGCTCCCGTCCGCGCTCGGAGATCTCCCTCTAATGGTGGAAAGTTTTTCCTTTTCCAGCTCTTTACCCACAGTCTAATCGCCTCATTAGCATATCAACAACAGCCCAATTGCTCGCCAGCACAACAACCTGCAGCGATGGACACAGGTAGAAAGGACCCACGAGTAAGAAAAAAAATAATAAATTAACAGTGAAGAAAAAAAGCTTTCTCCGACCTGCCGAGCCCTGGTGCGGGGGCCAGAGGGCCCTGCCTGCCTGCCTGCGGGCCGCCGCTCCCCTCGTGCCTCTACCTGCCAGCAGGGAAGTGGCCAGTGAAATCAAGGAGGCGACCGTCCCTTCATCTGCAGAGAGTTTGGAACTAGCCATGAAGCCACCCCGTGGGATTTACCTCTCCTTCCTCCCCCTTTTTTTTTTTTTCATGGAGGTTAAAGAAACCAAAGCAAGCAGAAACGAGACTCGAGTCTTGCTCGAACGAAGTTATTGTCTGCGGAGGCTTTTGTTGCCCTCTGGATTTGATTTGATCTTTTTTGGTGGACATTTGAAAAGCTTCTTTCCTTCGCAAACTATTTTTTTTTTCTTCTCGGCTCTGTTGTCTATATGTCTTCAAAAAAACACCACCCCAAACAAATCCAGCATAACCTCCCAGATAAAAGTGGGCGAGCGGTAAAGTGAATGAAGCAGGAGCAAAAAAATCTTTTGCAAGCACTTGAGCAAAGGGATGAAACAATGACCACAATAAAACTTTGGCACTTTCTTAGGTGGAGCGCTTCTTTTGCTTAACACTGTGCCGCTAAGCGAGCTCTCAGTCTACCCTCCTGGGGGGCTGCTTCTCCACCCCTCTCCTCTTTTATTTCTCCGGGTGCCCAACCTTGATCCATCCACCGAAAGGCTTCGTTTTTCTTCTTTTTTTTTTTTTTTCCCTTTTCCCCTCTGGGTGATTCCGCGCTGCTCCGAAGAGCAAGGCATTCCCCTCTCCGTGGGGCTGGCGTGTCAGGCCTGGCGCAGCTCCCCGCGCTAGCCGTGCCCCCAGGCGTCCCCAGGAGCGGGGCATTCCCATGGCTGCCCGTGCACCTGGTTGCCCTGCTGCTCCCCGAAACTTCTTTTGCCAATGGCAAAACCTGCCCTGTCGGCTTGGAAGACCCTCCCAGGGCCACCCCCCGACGTCGGAGGAAAATGTACTGCCTCCAGGAGCAAACGGCCCCTGCACTCCGCGGGGTAGCCGCAGTGGGCCCTCGGGGGTCCCTGCACACGCCTCCCCACATCGGGAAGGGTGACAAAGCCCCAGGGCTTCCGAGACTGCTTCTTCACGCACACACATATCTGTGTCCCCAAAATGGATTTTTTTTCCTTTCCCTTCCCTCCTCCTCCACCATACCCCCACCCCCGATGCTCTTTTTAGCAGCGCTTTTGTCTGACACTGGCAGGAGAGTAAATTGTTGGTTTTACTCCCATTGAGGTTCAAATAGAGCTGGCAGATTAAGCCTAGTTAATGCCTGGGGGGGAGTGTGTGTGGGGGGAAGAGATGAGAAAAAGAGGAGGAGAGCAGTATGACGAAGGGGCCCATCGCCCCTTAGCGCCGTCCTGTTGGAACCAGGTCCGTCGGGAAAGCTTCCCACCCGGAACAAACTCCCACCCGCCGCCGCCCGGGACTCCCGTGGGCCAAAGGCCTGACCCTTGTGCTTCCTCTCCCTAGGCCCAGGCCGGTAGGGTGCAGGCTTACGAGGGGAGGGGGCGGCTTTCCCCGAGAGACGCACACGGGGCAGCTGGAGGCGAGTCCGCGCGGCCCGGCCCCTCCGGCCAGGCACGGCCAAGAGGGCCCCGCAGCGCCGGGGAGAGGGAGCAAGGAGGGCCGGGGTGTAAGGAAAAGTCGGGAACAGATATCAAGGCAGATAACCCGTAAATACGATTGCACAAGAGTTGACTTCAGTGAAAGAAAGAAAATCCTCTTTTGATCGCTTTTTCGCACCGGTTTGATAAGAAAATGTCATCTCTAACTGTAAAAATAATTTAAATAATTTAAAATATATTTTTCTTTACTGCATTTTGTCGTGTCGTCCCCCACATCTTTTTTTTTTCTTTTTTAGACGACTTGCTGCTACTCTGAAGAAAAAAAAATTAAATAAGGCAGTCTGGAGAAAGGCAGTCGAGCGATTTGAAAAGCTGAGGGCAGAAAAAGAAACTAGGTTCCCATTTGGAAGTGGACTAGACTGTGCCGGGGAATAAAGAAAAAAGAAAAAAGAAAAAATCCTTTCCGCTAAGAAAATCCCGAGTGCTTGAACAGAACGATTCGTCTTCCCTTTTATTCGCCGGCGAACCGCGGCCATCTGGACGGGCATTAGGGTGCTCCAGGGTTTTTCAAGTTTCTCCCTCTCCTTACAGAGGTTTGAGAACCTCTGTAACTTCACACGTGCCGTCTCGCCCGTGGTGCGGGTGGGTCCCCTCGGGACCGTGGGGCCGGGCGAGGCCCCGGCGGGCCGCGTGTTCCCCATCCGACCTCTTTCGCTGGTGGGTTCTGCTTTTCCCTTCAGCTTATCCTAGCGGGAGTGCTTTCCACGGGCGCTCCCGGCATGTCTACCGCCTGGTGGGATCCGGCAGCGTTATTTTACCACGGGACGGGCTCGAGTGGGACCTCTCAGCGACGTTGCAGCCCCCGCCACACGTCCCCGATGCGCGGCGGGCCCGCACCGCGCGGCCCCGGGTCACGGCGGCGGGCGAGGGCCCTGCCTCTCGTGGGGACCCGCCACGCTCCGTGGCCCCAGGGCTCCGCGGCCGCCGCCAGCCCCGGACACAGGGACGGCGGGCGGGCACACGCCACCCTTGGCCGGCCCACGCTGCCGGGCAGCTCACGCTGGGGTTGTGACACCCACGGCGGCGGCGGAGCAGCCCTCGCCCCTCTCGACCCCGGTCCAC